GGCTGCCATCTGTAGAACCAACTAGTATTAAGTCAAATCAGTCCAACAGCTTAGAGGACTCTTAAATTCTTATTGCTGTCCAAAAATTAAAAAAACATATATTCTGTAAAAATGTTAGATTTGCTTGGCTGCAAATTTGGTCAAATTAAATCAGCATTTTTGTCTTGTCGGTACGTCTGCAGGGTAGTTACTAATTTGAACAGGGTTATCAGTTAATTGGCTTGATAACTTCGCAAGAAATTGAAAAATATATAAATCCTAACTTTAACTGTTGATATAACTTGCTTAGAATTTGGTATTATTGTTTGTAATTACACCTCCTGTATTGCGAAATTTGAGAAAATGTTTATAAATATATATTCAACCTTATTACTTACATGTTCAATGGTCATTTGCAGAAAATCCTTTTTTCTTTTTTTTTTAATATTATGAAATAGGTGCATTTCATATGGAGCATCTCTAAATTTTTGGTAGTACTTAGAATGACTAAATCGAATGCCAATCCAGTGATTGGACGTTCTTCTTCTTCTAAAAAAATTTTTAATATTCTGTAACATTTTTGAATAGTTATTGTATTATTGGATGTATTTTAGGTCCACACACACATAATTACATACCCATTCGCATGATTTATATATGTGAATCGATTTATGACCACTAACAATAAAGCTTTTCAAACTCACTATGACCTATTTTTCGAACGCAAGTTTTCTAAATTATTTTTATGGCATAAATATTTTTTTATATCCTTACCTCTTTGGTGAAAAACAAATTTTTTGCATAGTTTTCCTGGTTTTGCTATGTATTTATACAGTTAGATATTTCCAACAATTTTAGTATAATTGTTGGTAAAATGCCAACATAATCCGTGTGCGCGTGTTTGAATATTGGCTCGTAACATCAGCCTGCACATTTTCATCTGCGCTCTGATTTTGTAAACAGCGTGGCGGCAAAAAATTAAATTTAGCAATTATGGCTAGATTTACATAATTATCAAGAATAATAATAAATGATATAATTTTGTATTTAGGTGTCCAACTTTAATAATAATCCAACATTGGCCAACAAAGGCAAATCTTGACCTAAAGATTAAAAAAAAAACAATTTTTGCTGTTTTTATAGTCATTCAACATCTAGTTCATGAATATCTTTATTAGAAAATGGATTGTTATCTAACTAGATATTCAGCTCTACTGTAATTTGTATCAGCCTTTTCCCCAAGATTTAGAAAAAAATTGGTTTTAGTAATTTAACGTTTAGTTCAAAAATAACTCTATTGGCATATTGATTTCGATCTAACTAGATATTCAGCTCTTGGCTCTACCGCAATCCAACATTGACTTGTATTAGGCTTTATCATAAGATTTCAAAATATTTGTAATATTTAGTTTCATATTATGCTATGACAAATAGGATTATTCATTTTGAAAATTGGTTCTCATTAATTCTATTACTTTTGGTTATTGTGGTTGGTCGTAATCAAAAATTTCTTACGAAAGACTTGGGTGCGTCATGTGAAAATTTCATCGTTCCACAGAGCGAATTCATAATCATCGAGTCGAGACAAAGTAACAACGCTGGTTGGGCCGTACGCAGAGAAGCGACGAAAAGACCTTCTCGTGTTCTTCATCAGTTAAGAGAGAGGAGCCTGCTTTGCTCTATTGGTGTATTTCTGTGCTTGAGTTATATCGGTGTGTTCCAAGCCGCGCCATGTGCTAGCCGCCTGCATATACCCGTATGATGTATAATACAAAGATATATATAGGGGAGCATGCCTGCCTGCCTGCCTGCCTGCCTGCCTGCCTTGCCTTGCCTTATTTTCAAACGAACCGTCCGCTTTTGCCGAGGGATCCCTCTTCGTTAAATATATTTTTGGTTAGGTTATTTCGTTCCTCCCTTTTTTTTCTCTCGTATTTCTCATCTACACACTGTTACCAGAGCCAGGCAGGAGTTCTGCAGGTAACAAATATCCTAACTGCAGAATTTTATACCTGCGTATCGAGAGAGGAAGCAAAAAATGGATTTTGCCGCCAAACCCAAAACTTAATCTCCGACGTTTTTCGAAGGTTTTGAATTTCGGAGAATGAAAATGTATTTTTTTTGTCAAGATTTTTGATAAGTTAATGGACGGCAGCTAATGTTTTTCTGGGAGGAAAGTTTTTCGGCTTGGTTGGATTGAAATAATGTAAAATAATTGAAAGATCAAAACTAGTGGGGCCCTTGGCATCGTGGCTTAAGGGAAATTGCTGTAACCTCCCGTACCAAAAATTATTTTTTTAAAAAAAGATTAACATTTTTGAATAAAAATTACTCTGAAAAATACAGATTTTTGAGAAACTATAAATTCTTGACAAAAATTTACTCTTTTTTGAAGAAAAATTTATTTTGAAATATTTTAGGAATTCTGACAATTATAAAGACAAAATATCGAAGCTCGTAAGCGCCACGTCGCCGTCTAACGGATAAACATTGGTACGGAACCCATTGGAATGTAAACAAAATTTATACTTATTGTTATAAATCTCTATAAAATATCTGATAATTTGATGTGTATATGTCTAATGATCATTTTTGACCTTCTGTCTTCATGAAAATTTGATCAGTTCTTCATCTTGTTAATACAAGTAAAATGCTTTTTGAATTATTCAAATCGGACGCTCCGTTCTCTTAAAAACTGAGTTACCGTTTTTGGTACTTTTTTCCCCATATATTCGGAACGGCTAGACCTGCCTTCGCCAAAAACTAATCAGCACGTCTCCTTATCTTTTTTTAATTATTCAAAACGCTTCATCCGTGTTCCCGAAATCGTCGACGAAAATTTGTATCCGCACACACACACATACATCCATTTTTTCTAAGGTATGCCAAAATGTTCAGAAGGTTTTGAAACGTAAAGATATGTAAAAGTTTTCAGTTTCGATTTTTTTGCGATTACTATATCTTGCTCTACGGGAAGTTAACAAGATATAAATTAATGAATATGAGCCTACTTAGCATTTGTTTGTAAATGAAAATTATATATTACGGTATGACCATATTAGACAGTAAAGAAGGACCATAGTAGAACCCCGTTAAGACGATCATAAATCACATTATTTCTTGCATAATACGCCACTTTATGCATGTTGCAAGATTTTGTCTCCATCCCGCATAATACACTTTCTTGCTTGACACGTATTTTTGAAACTCTTTCTGGAAAATAGTCTAAAGGGGGTTTTATCGTAATGTAGATTGGATTTCATTAATTTAGTAATAACACTATAGTTGTTCTCATTGTCTTATTGGTTTTTATATTGGATTATTATTAATTTTACAGTGCTTTAATTTTGGCTTATTTTAACCAGGTTAAGAGTATTTTCTATTATTCGATCAGCAAACTAAGAGATATTTACCAATCAAAATTGGTTTACTATAAAAAAAGCTAAAGAAATACTATTAATGATGAATAATATCAATCTTTTCCAAATTGTTGCAACAAGTATAAAGTTGAAAAATTTAAAGTGGTATCTCTCCAACTGAAGATATTTACTGATTTTAATATTTTTAGTAATATCAGATGAGCTCATAATATTTTCAATTTCAAATAATATATTTAATTTTCCCCCAAAATTAGTAATCCAATATTATCAGAAATCATTTATTAGTTCAACTTCCATGTAAAACCGCAGCAATTGACCTTTCCGATGATCATCCTGGTTAGGACCAGGCTAACCTCGACGCTTAACGTCCTCTCCTGGCTGGATATCACTACGCGGTAACTTGCCGCGCAAGTTTACTGCGCAGCAACGCGTTCGCCGCGTTTTTTATAATTCTCGCAGCAAAACCGGGGACTCGAACCCGGCCATAGAAGAGTACCGTACAACGTTTCGACAGAGAAGCGAATATTCATCAGCTTATGCGCTATATATGGCGATATATAATATAATATATAAATTTGTACATGCAGCATGATGACGCTTTCATTAAATTTTGTTTCAAATATATAATGATGTTAGTTCGGATGACTAGTCGGTCTAGCGAAAATTATAAATGATTTTTTATTAAATCCAATTATTGATGCTTAAATCCTGAACATATTGTATTTTCTGCAAGATAATAAATTTGTATACTTTGGGCTTTGCTGTCTCTCTGGTGCTTAATTTGTTGCTTAAGTAATAGGTAAATTTTAAATTTTTGTTCACACTTTTTTTATCGTTATTTTCTATACCTCAGTCATACCAGAAGTATCTGATCACGTTCTGGTCTAAGGCATTACCTATAACTAATAATATATTCAGGAATAATGTTTTTGGAACCAGGAAACTTATAGTTGTTAACAAATGAAGTCTTGATATTTGATTAGGAATTATATATTATTAATAAATTAATTTGCTATATCTGGATTTTGGGAACCGGACATATTGAGGAAAATTTTGATATTGGAAGTATAAAACATCATTTATTATTTTATTGGTATCAATTTGATTGTTTTTGGCTTCAGCATATAAGATGCTCCTGATGCATCTATTTCAAATTCATATTAAACAAAATTTCTACAGAAGTTAGTTTCAACTTTGTCTCAAGAAACAGACGCATTGTCATCATCAGTTCATGTTTCAATTACACATTCTGCTTAAATTTGTTTTCTTACCAGGCGATTTTATGGAAAAAAGTATTGCTTGTCTTTGCTTTGGTATGCTAGCTTGTATGAAGTTTGGCGTATTGTTTTGAAATCAGGTTGAAAATATTACGATTAGATTAGATTTTGGGACGTGAAACACAGTTTACTGATAAATCGCTTTTTGAAATGTTCAACGTATTTCAAATGCCGATAACGCATTCTCACAAGTTGCTGGCGAGTCTGAATTGCCGTTTAAGATTTAATATGTTCAAATGTCAGAAAATACACGAAACACATAGTACGTTTATTTCCTTCAAACTTATAAATAATGTATTTACTTTAGATTGAAATAATATATAAAACATAAAACATTTATTTAATAATCTATTCCCTATTTCAGATGACTTTCTACGTATCAGAATGGAAACTAAGAACTCAATGAATACTCAAGTACATAAAACAATGAGATCTTGGAACTTTCAAACTGTTTAAGGTAAATATTATTAATTTAAATTTTTAATTTGTGTATTGTACTTAGCATTTATCTTTCGAACTAGAATCGTATAAGACTACCAATGTACCTCATTATCTTATTGGAATGTAGTCAGAATCCTATTAGACAACGAAAACCCTTATTATTAATATAGGTACCTAATTAACTTTATTGGAAAACTTTTTTCTATTTCACATGAATTACTTAATAGGTTTAATATTCATTATGAAAATTAATTTAATATTATTCAATATGGTTTTAAACTATTACCTGGTACTATGATACATACATACATATATACTTGCACTTGTATATAGAACGTGGCGCGTAAAAACCCCCTACTATTGCGAAAAGAGGGTTTTCCACCCCTGATCGCACTCCCCTGGCTTTATAAGGGATGAAAATAAGGGGTGGGGGCATTTATTAATCCCGACGTTGAACGAACCAGCGTATATATATATATATATATATATATATATATATACATACAGCATTATACCATTGGTTCTCAAATATACAAGATTAATAACAAAGAAGTTGAAATAGAGTCAACAAAGTATTTTTTTTATGACACTGCGATGTGAAGAACTAATAATATATTCAAGAGTTATCTTATAGTTTTTATTCAAGTCATTTTCAATTATTCAAGATAATAATTAGTTATTCAAGATATTCTCAAGTCAAATAAAAATATTTTTTGACTTTTTGATGAACACTTTGATATTTGATATTGAAAAAGGATATTGTTATTTGTGTAGTTCTAGTTATTAGAGATTATTAATAAATTATTATATATTATCTTTTTGGGAAACATTGTACCTACAGTTAGTGAATAAACGTGGGAGTAACGCGAGCGTTGGAATAAATGCAAGTGCGGGGGTATATGTGTGTCTTTTCCCCTGTGTGTGTGCGATGATGAATACGGGGTGAATTTTGGGGGCGACTTGTATGTGTTGGATCTCCGAACAAGTATAAAATGTATCTTCTGCCAGTGTTAGTGTATATTTTGTTATTAGGGTGTTTTTGCTCCCTGGCAGCAGCGCAACGCGCCGTTCGCTATTTGGAGGGCATTGGTAGACCTGATGGTATATGAACGCGCTCAGGAATATTTTGGGATTCCCACTTCTGATAATTGTGACACTTGCTATTGCGTTGATTATTTCAAATTTTACGGAACATGGAATGACGAATATCTAATGCGAAATAGATTTTCGACATGAGTAATATTACTAACAAATGGTACTACAACTATTTTATTAAAAAAGTAGCGCTTTCATGCGACAATTCACTCTATTATCTGGTCAAAGTAATAGTAGAATTATATCAATACTATGGTTATAAAGAGAAGTTGTTGTTCTATTTTTTAGAACTTTTATCATTATCCTGATCAATCGAAATTAATAATCTTTAGTAGAAAGGACCTAACTGCATAACTTTTATCTTTAAGATATCTTCCATTTCATATCACTTTGTACGTTAATGCAACAGTATCCATATAAGTATATAATCATATTACAATAACGAATCTGTGCATTTTAAATCTCAAGCTAAAGTATTCAGTTTAATCTCGACACTATTAACTAAACATTCTATTATTTTTAGGTAATTCCGCTATGATGGGTCTGCAAGTTAACAAGCGCAAGTTCCACGTAGATAGCTACGACAGTGGACCACCAGCCGCCAAGAATTCTCGTCTGAATTGGCCACCACCAGCGGAGGATAGCATCGCAAAGCTGCAAGCAGTGGCGGTACCTGGTGAAGCCTGGACGCTACCGTCAGCACCTCAGAACCAGTACAACCCCAGCAGATCGGTTCTGGTAACCAGTATATTAGACGATAATTTCGAGGATGAAGAAGATGAACTCGATTATGATTATGAGGATGAACTCCCAATCCATCAACATTGGTTTCCTCCAGTAGTCCAACAGCCTCAACAAACCATTCGGTGCGCCGAGAACGGGAAATCTTATTTGGAGCTCGGAGGCGCTAATTATGTAAGGCCGAATAGCAGGCAGTTTTACCGCGAAAGGAGAATGCGCATGATGAATCTATCCATGTGCAAATTGGCGAGGTTTAGGCAATGTCCGGATCCTCCGCTTAGGAGGTCAGTGTTAATCTGTAATACCTTGAGATCCATTGAACGTGAAATGGAAGATGAAGAACAACAACAAAATTCTTTCAATAACGTTTGTTGGCAAGGTAGTAATGATTCTGGCAGATCAACACCTTATCCAATGCCTACGCCACCTCCTGTGATTCAAAGCCAACCTGTTAATCAAGCGCCCGATTGTGATTCTGGCTACAGTGACGATGAATCAGGGAAATCTATAGACTGGGGTTCTGTGTTAAGTTTATCGGCATTAGATCCAATAGTACCTTCTGCAGAAGATGACTTTGCGGATCTATTACCTTCATGGGGTAGGATACCTAGTGAATTAACAGACTTAGATTCTCCACAACGAATACTTGTGCGAAGTTAGTGGTGGGTCAAATCAGTGTAGATAGTCTAGAACAATATACAAAACAAATTCTGTACATAATATATATTAAAGATTATATATGGGAGTAAAGTTGCCGGGTGCGGTGCTTGTTATAAGAAAATCATTTATTTTTATAAAGACATTATGGTTTTAAAAGCATCTGTGTGATTGAATGAGTTCAATGCAAAATGTGGTATAAAATTATTACCTCTTAATTATATTGTTATATATTTTATAATTTACACTTAAATGCAAAACTTAGAAAAATTTTAGTTTTAAATTGAATAAGCAAATTGTAAATAATGTGAATATTATTGATATTTAAGACAGGCGAACACAATTTCATAAATCTTATAAAAAATCAGGAGTAAATATTTTCTTTATGAAAAAGCAGTGAATTGAATAGAAAATAAGAAATTCAAAACTCTAGTCGTACCTAATACTAGTATAAATGATGAAATATATTATAAGGTGATAGAGTGTAGAAACTAACAGATATATTTGTTTAAAAAATTATAAAAAACGATTATACTTAAAAAATCACAAAACAAAAATAACAATGTCAAAATTTTATATTGGCAGAAATATAGGTACTTATGTAATTGACCAAACTGTTTTCAAATTTTTAATGTTCAAATTAGCACAATCAATACAGATGAATAAGGAAAGGAAATGTTTACAAAATTTATTAAATTATGAAGCAGTACCATCCAGAAGAATTTCTTAACACAATATTAAATGTTTGTGTTGATTATTTACAATAAAGTTATTATTATAAATCAAACCAATTATTATTTCATCAATAGTTTTCTATTTCCATCAGAGGGATTTATTAATAGTTTATTGCGCAGAAGGCATGTGACTAGTTATGAATAGATAATATTGTGGATATGAATAGCATTAATGGCTTGACCATTGCTGCGCAACCAGGGGTATTATTTAAAAGATAGCCAAGAAACTGGTTAGATTCTTATTTTAAAGATTACTCAATTTATAATAGAATGAATTGTTTAAAATTTATTAAAGCAAATTAACTATTGTTAACAATATCTGTGCAATATTGTTCCAATAGGACTTCATGCAATAGAACTACATAATTTATGTTTTTTTAATAATTATAACAACGAAGTTAGTTTCGGAGTTAATTATTAAACCAGAGATTCATTATTGACAGATTTGATATAACAAGAAAGAACTCAGAGCATTTTTTGCTATGTTTTTAGATTTTTATTAATAATAATATATTAAATGTAATCGTATCGAAAGATTGTTTATTTAACTTGCCATATTAACTCTTTTGAGAAATTTAACATTGCAGAAAGATTCAAACATTGGATACAAGAATGTTGCTTTAGCACAACTTGTTTTTTATGCGTTTTATTTATTATTATTTTATACTGATATAAAAATGGTGCATTTATCAATTCAAATCTCCCGCATAAGGTACGCCAACAAACCGACATGTCATCTATTGCCAACGTTGCGAAGCTAGAGGCAACCTTCACGTCAATTTGTCTGACAGCCACTTAGAATCATATAGAAATGGCAGGAGCAGTGTCTGTGTCAACTCTCAAATGGCTGTTTAGTGAGCATGCGAATTAGTGTTGAAATAACATGTGTTTTTATAAAAAAATAGTTTCTAAAGATATGTGATATAATGATAATTAAGTGCAATGAGTGTTTTCGGTGACTTTCAACGCGTGTGGGTGCAGCGGTTCCCTGAAAGCTCGTTATCAGCAGCTTGGGAAGAGGATGTCAGAGCTAGTTTAGATAAACATAAACAAAAAGTAATTAGCTTAAGAGAAGAATTGGAAAAGGAGGAATTGTATGTTGAATATTTAGAAAGATTATTAAGCGATGTCGAAGAATTACGTTTGAGCAAAGAAAATGATGAACAAAATGCAACGGCGCAAACGCGAGATGTCGAGAAAAATGATAAGGGACCAGATATCATTCAGGTATGTAAATAAGGCAAATGTGTTTTATTTCTAAAAATAACATTTTACATTTTATTATATATTTTTTGATGTGTTCTTGAAAATAATGACGCTTTTGCCGCTGTTTATCATTGGCCAAACAGATATATCTTGTATAATTAGATTATTGTTTACTTTTTCAATGTCACATTAGCTTACAAATAATTATACTTGTCTTACAAATTATTAAAATTGTTACACACACACATATATATAATAATTTATAAACTATTAAATTCCAATGCTAAATCCTTTTCCAAATAAGTTTCTTATAAGTCTTTCTAATACATTTACATCAGAAACTCCTATGAATTTTTATACTATTTTTAATACCTTTGATCTTACCTTACCTATGCCTTTAATATTTTTAAGTTTATATCAAAAATTATTCTTATTGACGTTATAATCATTATTATTCCAATTTTATTCAATATATCAGTGATAAATTTTGATAACATCTATTTCGATAATGAAAATTAGTCACTGATACATACTTTATTGCACAACTTTCAATATTTTCAATGTCGTCTGACAATTTAAAATAAATTTATCTTGCATCACACGAGAAAGTAACTATATATTCGCAATTATATACATATACACACACACATATATATATATATATATATATATATATATATATATAAATATATATATATATATATATATAATTTTTGGAACCAACTTTTCAAATAATACTTGCAATTATTCACTCTGTACGTTTTGACGATGTATGTGTATTATCATTCAGCAGTTCTAAAAAAAATATACAATAATTTGAACATTTTACAAAAAATTACTAAAAATATTGTAATTTAATTTTCAAAAATAATATACATTGCATACCAGGAAGTACACAAATTAAATAAACAATGGTATAATATTGTAAAATTAATTTATATATCTTCAACATGTTTATTTTCATATGTTCTTCCTGGTGTAGTTCTTATAAAAATGTTTTAACATTTCTTAGAACTGCTGAATGATGAAACAGATACAGTGCCGAAACGTGCAGAATAAATAATTTTAAGTATTTTGATGAATAATTTTATTTTGGCTTCAAAAACCTTTGGAACATAAATACATATACAATACAAAATATAAAATATTATAAGAGCTGTCCCGGCAACGACCTTTGCCGGGACAGCTAGTATAAATATATATATATATATATATATATATATATAAATGATTTAAATAAACTTTATATGTGAAAATACTCAATTTTCTTTATACAATCCTATTGAAGAACCATCATGAGTTTGTTGCTCAAAATATTTGAAAATAAAACAAGATGTGCCCATCTGTTTAGAGTTTATAGAAGGCCAAAAGTTTGTTTTATATTCAACACTTTATTTACAATAATTTTATATACAAAAAATTATATAAATTAATACAACCATTGAATTTCTTATTAGACTATCATACATTAAAATTTTAATATATAATCATGCATGATTCTGGCATTAGAGAAAAGTGTAAGTTCTTAAATTATTTCAAATATTTTTTTATTTTTTAATATGTGTTTTTTAGATTATTTTTGCATTGGACGTGTCTGTTAACTAATGACTAATATAAGATATGAACACCGTATTCGTATAAATTGAAACAATTAATGTCACATTCAGTTTCTTGACATTATGACCTGACTACGTTTATTTTTATTGGAAGTTTTATTAATGTAGGTATGCATATAAATGCAATACATTTAAATCATACAGTAGAACCCCGTTAAGACTATCATGCTTAATACGATTTCTCGATAATACGCTATTTATTATCCTTATCCGGCAAAAATTGCTTTCTCGCTTAAGACGCGTTTTTGGTTTTGTCCAGTTGTTTTTTTAAATCGAAAATGAAAATTTTTTGCATTTCTTTACGTCTCAAGGTCCTCTGAAAAGTTTGGCATACCTTAGAAAAAAATTGAAGTATGTATGTGAGTGTAGTATACATGTATGTTTATTCGGATACAAATTTTTGTCCACGATCTTGAGGGCACCGATTTAAGTAATTTGAAACACATTCGGTTTATATTGATGGAGGATGTGCTGATTAGAGAAAAATGGCAATTTAATGAAGAAATAGAATTGGCCCTAAGACGCTTCCTTGTGGAACACCTGAAAGTCGGAATTTTTCCAAATTGCAAAATGTTCAAAAAATTGCAAGATTACGGTACGGAAAGTTCAAAGATTAAGAATCTTGTAACTAGTTGAATATGCTTGTTCGCGGAATTCTCTTATCATTATATAAACAATTTTGCGAATAATTTTGCAGTCTCTCAATATTCTATGACTAAGATTTTTTACAGATGATATAATAAACTAATCTACCAAATTAATTTTCGGCTTCACAAGTGCCGTAACCGATTATGCAATTATCGATATATCATTGTAAGCAAGAAATGATATCCGGAGAAATCTTATTATGTCTTTGCTAACCGGTATGTCAATATTGCTCGGCAATTAAAAAAAACTATGCTAAGAATTATAAAACAGTTTTAGAAAATAATAAAACATACACTTAAAGTTGACTGACCGACTTTGTGTATGTTTCAATGAGACGTCCGCGAAAAGTATTTTGGACAAGGTCTTTCATAGTTTTTATAATGAATTGGTTAGTAATTCGTATTTAGAATTATAAAGCACTATTTATATCGTAATGAATTAAATTTAGATGCAAACATGTTGTGGGCGTGTCATGCTGTTATTTGTATTGCTGATAAGAATTTCATTTATGCAAATGCACTCTTGATATAAATGCTTGCAGAACCAGCAACAAGTATAAATTAAGTTATTAATATACAGTTTATCATATGAAATTAAAATGCGATGAATGAGTATGATCTTCATTTCACTGTTAGAATTTTAATAATTAATATATGTTTAATATAGTGAATTTTACTCCAACGCCCTTTCCTGGTATTACATACAGGGATTCTTCACTTTATATTGTACTTCCCTTTTAATTTTAAATATGGATAAAAGTGGTTTTCATAAATCTTTAATACTAATATCACAACTTAGTTGTAATAGTTGGCGATCCCATATTCGGAGAATAGAAATCATTGGAAAAACATGTTTTTTAAACGCAGGCGTACGAATCATAACCGCGCCAACCTTTTAAGCGTTTGAAAGTGAAAATATTCATATATGTGTCACGTAACGTTATGATTTTCTCTTCAAACTAAAATGACGTTCCGAACAGTCCAATTAACTCAAAATGTTCAATTCTGATAAAGAATAGAAATCTTTGACAATGGAGAAAACACTAAATCAGATACTGGCAAAGACAATGATAGAATTCAATGTCTTTGCGAACGAAATGACGAAATCAGTCTCTTTCTTTTAATATTACTCTATTAATCTCTACTTGTCTTATTGTTGATTGCTCATTTAAGTTAATTTTTGGTATATTTTATGTCTATACATTAATTTATGTACATGGGGAATACATATGTATTAATTTTCCGGAGGAGAAGTTTGTATTTTACCAGAAAATCTGTTTTGCTAAATTTGCTATCTTGACTTTTCGAATTTCTCTGAATCGATTGGCACTATAATTGCGACTTAGATTCCAACTGGAATTGAAACACTTAAAATCCTATTACATTATATCAAAATTATCATGTTTGTTAAAGCTTACATGTATATAATTGGTTATACATGTTATATATTATAATAAGTGTAAAATCTACTCCATTTTCTTATAAATTTGTTGTAGTTGATTTACACACATCATAGTTCATTTACTTGCTACTATACTCATTGTAGTAGATTTGCTACACTCATTATAGTAGATACTTATATAGTAGACATTTTACTAGACCCATTGTAGTAGCAACAAATGTAGATTTAATACATTTGTTGAGTTAAATTTACTACATTCATTATAGTAGATTTGCTAGACCCATTATAGTAGAATTACTACATTCATTATAGTAAATTTACTACACTCATTGTAGTAGATTTACTACGTTCATTGTAGTAAATTCACTATACTCATTGTAGTAAATTTACTAGTAGACCCATTGCAGTAAATTTACTACACTCATTGTAGTAGATTTACTACGTTCATTGTAGTAAATTCACTATACTCATTGTAGTAAATTTACTATTAGACCCATTGTAGTAAACTTACTACACTCATTGTAGTAGATTTACCACGTTCATTGTAGTAAATTTACTACACTCATTGTAGTAGATTTACTACGTTCATTGTAGTAAATTCACTATACTCATTGTAGTAGATTTACCACGTTCATTGTAGTAAATTCACTATACTCATTGTAGTAGATTTACCACGTTCATTGTAGTAAATTTACTACACTCATTGTAGTAGATTTACTACGTTCATTGTAGTAAATTCACTATACTCATTGTAGTAAATTTACTATACTCATTGTAGTAAATTTACTACACTCATTGTAGTAGATTTACTACGTTCATTGTAGTAAATTTACTACACTCATTGTAGTAGATTTACTACGTTCATTGTAGTAAATTTACTACACTCATTGTAGTAGATTTACTACGTTCATTGTAGTAAATTCACTATACTCATTGTAGTAAATTTACTATACTCATTGTAGTAAATTTACTACACTCATTGTAGTAGATTTACTACATTCATTGTAGTAGATTAACTACACTCATTGTGGTAGATTAACTACACTCAGTGCAGTACATTTACATTATGCACACTCAGTCATTTTTGTTATAATAAAACATTTTTTTAGGTTTTCTACCTAATTGTCTCTATAAATAAATATTTATAATAATCTGGAATTATAAAATTATTACTGTGAATAACTTTTCTAATTAATTTGAATATTAATCCATTTTGGGAGATAATGCATATATGTTGATAACATATTGATAGATTAGGTAATACATTGATAACTCATGAATACATGGAATATTGATTAAATGCGTTCAGTAAATTAATATGAGGATTTTCTTACTTTTATATTTTATTTTTGCAAGAACATACTTTATATTCCATACTGTGCTAATGGAATCTCATTAGAATCATGTCGTGAATCCAATGTACCGTAGGTCACCGTTGCAAATACCGAAATTCCAAAAATTCCGGATTACCGTCACAGTGGCAGTCGGATTTTATTTTTATGATGATTCAGAATAGTAATAAAATTCAAATTGGCCGTTTGTGGTGATTATATTGAACTAATTTGAATAATTAATTATTAATTTGTAAATCTATTGAGACTGTTTTGATAACTGACATAATACCTATATACTTATATACTTATTTTAACTTGTAATCGGATTCTACTATTTTATCCATGTTCCAAGAATGCTTTAATAACAAAATTAATAGCTGAATTTAATTATTGTGAAATCAAATATTTTTTTCAAAGATACATATAATTTTAATGATACATGATCGTAAAAACATTTTTATTACTCTTTAGGTTGTTATATACGTACATTTTCTTGGATGTTATTTATTTTATTGCTTCAATTTTATTTACTTACAGGATACGCACTCGGCCAAAGACTCTGAAGAAAATGCAGAAGTAATTCAGGAGGAAAGTCCTAAAAAGGAAAAGGACGAGGTTGTCAGGAGCAAGGATGATGATGTCTTACTGAGGGAGAAACGGAGGAGATCACAAGTAATAATTGATCATTTATTTATAAAATTACATTTAGGCTATATAGTAATTGTTAAGAACGTAGGCTAGCACAAACTCCCAACTTGATCGTCGATATCAAGCAGTATGGTGTCAAATTTCCACTTGAGGTTATAGATTTTAAATATAATCTCAAGTGAAAATTGCCTTTCGTGGGCATTGCTCCAACACATACACACCTACACTACTATATTTACATATCTATTTTGTATTATAGTCTACATATTAAACAGAAGAGTGGTTACTATTTGCTCCTCAAGATAAACGTTAAATTACCATTAATACTAATACATTTATTATTTTAATTCTAATGTCTTTATATTGTTTTATGCTGAGTGTTCCAGTTAATTGCAGAGAGTTATTGGATCACATGTTATTGTTTACATTTTTTTATTTAACATTAATCGCTTCAACGATTTCGTGGTTTCAACACGAACTATAAACAATAATTAAGTACATAAACAAATGCAAAGCATAAACTGATTTATGTTTAATTATGACTGAAATTATAAAATAAATAAATTTTGAACTTTAGAGAATGAGTCATATCCCACAAAGATAAAGGCACTTATGTTTTTTACATAAATGTAAATTTTGTGAAAAATTATTGTTAAATATCATAATTATTTGTATGAGAATCATAATTTGTAATCTATGAATTCTACTGACGGTTTGATTAAATATTATCTTTGGGTATCACTAAATCACGTAAAACGTATCACTTGATACTAAAATATTATTTATGTAAAACGTGTAATTTTAGTGGATACATTTATTGCTTTTGATTTGATCAGATGATATTTTTAACTTTCCATGGGATAGTTATAGTAATGGGTCGAAAATCGAAAATGAAAATTTTTGCATATCTTCACGCTTCAGAGGTTTATGAACATTCAGAGTCCACGTTTTCGGGCGCATAGATAAACCGATTTGAATGGTTAAAAAAACATTCGATTCTTATTGATACGGGGATGTTCTGATTAGTTTTTGCCAAAGGCAGATCCAGCCGTTACGGAGATACAGAGCAAAGAGTGCAGAAAATAGAAATCGAGTTTTTGAGAGAACGGAGTATCCGATTTGAATGATTGAAAAACATTCTATTTGTGATGATTGGGAGAAATGGTGATTAGTTTTTGGCAAAGGCAGGTTTAGCTATTGCGAAGATACAGAGCTAATTGTACAAAAACGGCAGTTTTTATATGGCATAATTTAGATTTTAATTTTAATTCTGGCTGAAGTTTTTAAGATCACTCATATACTTTAAATAAATATTTTTAATTCAGTTTATATAATTCTTGTATATATATATATATTAGACAATGTTACATTATCTATATTAATCTAATTTATTTGATAACATTTAATATTCCTCGAACATTTCGTCACGGTAGGGGAAGTTCCTGCAATTTGCCTTAAGGCACACCACTAGTTGTTATTTGTATTAGGTAAGGCAGTATTAAGAGATTTTTGTATTTATGTGTTGGTTTGTTGATGGTTTTCAAATTACACATCTCGAGAAACTTATTTTAGCAACAATTGTACAATTAATTTTTTTTATTTATCATTTAACATTTTTAATTTTAGGTGCACCAATGCGTGACAGAACTTTCGGCCGTCAGCCGAAGATGTGTCAGTGAAGTCCCAAGTGCGTTGAGTAACTCCGGCGGTAAACCACAACCAGAACCACGGCAAAATGACGCTTCCAACTTCGTCACTGTCATTGAAATCAATCAGCAGCAAAAGCAGCAGAATGGTGCCAAGGAGTTGCCGCCTCCGCAGATGAACAAACCGACAAAAGTCGCCCCTAAGTAAGTGACAAGTAGTATTTATTAACTTCCCTAATGTATGTATAGATACAATTTTTCGTCCACGTTTTTGGGCGCAAGGATCAGCTGATACATTTAAAAAACATTCAATTCCTGTTGATAGGGAGATGTTCTGATTAGTTTTTGACAGAAGCAGGTTCAGATGTTACGGAGATACGAAGATAACTTGACATACATTGTTACTACACTTTACTAAGATTGTGACTAAAATTTAAAGTTGGGACATTCAATAGTTTTTGAGATATGCCAGGTTGATGGGTGGTTGGCTCCGCTCTCAATACTAGTATTGAAACAGATTGTACGTTTTCAAAAATACATAATTCGATTTTGATGAAACTTGACATACATTGTCACTACACTTTACTAAATATTCGACAAAAATTTAAAGTTGGGACTTTCAATAGTTTTTGAGATATGCGAGGTCAAGTTACGATTTTTCCTATATAAATCCTGCATCAACAAATTTCTTTTACCAATCGAAGGTGGAACGCGTTAGGCTTCAAACTTTTTTTCTTTGACTAAAACTAATGTATTTTGAATAAATATTTTCGATGTTTGCTGTCATAATAGTACATTGTACACAATACTACATGTAGAGTTACCTAACAGTAAATAAGAAATTGGCAAAACAATGTAGCATGCAGATGCTAAACGAACTTACTTAACGCTTTGACATGTAACGGTCTTCTTCTACATGTTGTCAGTTAACAATAAGTAATAACTTGTGAACAAATGATGTTGATTTGAATATAAATATAAATAAATTAAGCATATGGAGAAATGGAGAAATATATTTATTTTAAGGTTCTAGAGCTTGGCCAATAGATCTACTTGAGTAGATTGTTTTTACGTGTTTTTTTCTTTTGTTTCATAATTTTTTATGATTCAAATTATTTTTATAGATACAGCTTTTTTGTAATCATCCTCTTTTTGCGAAACTTTAAACGCAGTTTTCTCAAAACTATCTTTGTAATACGATTCTCAAGATTTTTCGTTCTATTGAACCGTTGAAATTTTCAGAGAACATCTTTATAAACTTTTCTCTGGTATATACCAGCCCCCAAATTTCAAAATTTTACGATTTTTAAAAAATTAGAGAAAACCCAAATAGGTAAGAAAAATCCTAGTATATGCTATCCTTGTAGATTAAAAATTCTTATTTATTTCATTACTTGGAGGGCTGCAATCGTGGGCATGAACATGTGTCAGTTTTTTAGGAACCCCACTTCAATTTTTAAAATTGTTAACTTTTTTTTGTTTTTACTTTTTTGCTGTGCTCTTGCAACATTGATAAATAAATTATAGAAAAAATGACGGCAAAAAAAAATTATTGCCTCTTTTTTACAACGATTTTTAAGATGACCTAAAATCCATGCCTCACTAGATTAAAGTGAACTACTCAGGAGTTATCAGAATCACTCCTTTATTATTCTATTATTCTTATCTAGATATTTATTTATTTTATTCATTATTTTTATTATTTGCATTCCTAGCTGTGTTTTATATGTAATTTTAATTGCTGTTTATGATTACAAAACAAAAACAAACAAGGTTTTGAAACTATTGTAAGACCTCTTGCTGTGTTTGGAAATAATTTAAGTATCAAAATTTACTGAAATTACGATTAACATAAATAGTTCTTGAACTATCTTTAATTTTAATTCATGCAATTGTTCATTGTTTATTATTTAAAATTATTCTGCAAAGTACAAATTAATAACTAAATTCCTGGAATATTTTATACATTTTCCCATGTACTAATATTCACGTTCAATTTAACCGTGTTCTGTATAAATTAATCGCATTTTTGAACAGAATTAATATTAATTTGTTTTATATATCCGCATATTTTCGTTATATGAACAATGGCATATTATCAAGCATAGGCCTTTTCTCATACAGATACGCATATATATATATATATATATATATATAAATATATAAATATATATATTTAAATTTATTCATTGTTGACTTTTTGTTTATACAAAATAATTATTATAATGTTATCATTTACTTTTTTCTAAAGAATTTTGCACATATCTCATTCATTAAGAAGATTATTCATACATATAATCAAGATATAGAGTGAGGAAATAATAAAAGTGTTTATATTTACTTTATTATCGTTGATGCGACTTTATTGTTGATAGGTATAAAAATGATTAACACAATAATTGTGTATATTTCTTTCATAACAAAAATGTTTTGTGAGTCAACAGTCAATGATATGCTATTTATAAGAATCATCAATAAGTTATTCTTTCTTAGGCGACATGGCTGTATAGATTGCAACCCAAAGGGTTACCCTATCTTTGCGGGATGAATTTTATTATTACAATTCTGCTGTTACGCATTACTTTATGGTGGGAGGATCTAGAATGCTAGGATTATATCTTAATCGGTGCCATACGCCTTTCTTCCTATTGTCTAGTAGTGATTCATTTTTTTTATTATCGCTGGGGAGGCCTATTTTCACTTGAAAGCATATTGCTATCTATATTTTCAAGTAAAATCTGATGTCACTACCATTTGAAAACAGGCTATCCCTGAAGGAGTATCGAACCTGAAACTTGGGAGTCTATTAGCTCAAAATTAAAAGTAATATCCTTGGAAAGTTTAAGTAAATATATTTTTGATTCCAGGCCTCCTCCCAAAGTTTTCCACAAATTAGGAAATTCTCTGGAAAATGAAGACGTCAGTCCAACCTGCTCCCTTGGTAAAACAGGATCATCCTGCAGTAGTCAGTCCAGGCCAAGTAGCAGAGGCAGTATTTCTGATCGGGTAAATTAATAATAATTAGTAATGATTTATTGTTCTCTGTTGTATACGTACTAACATTTTTTGAACAGCAATCTTGTGGTGTTTTATTTTTCAAAAGGAATTGAACCTTGAACTTTGTGGTTACAAGTCCAAAGCCTTTACAACTGAGTCACAAACAACCTAATATACATAGAAATGTATTTTGAATTCATATTTAACTTTTTTTGCTATTGAGAAACTATAAATACGATGTGCCCTAAATTTAGGTTTGATAACATTTGACACTATAAATTGTAGTGTTCATAAATAATAATTTTTAATTTTACTTTAGCTTGATTCGTTTATATCATATTAGTGAACATACTTTTATTATTAATGACATAATTTAAAATTTACACAAATAAATTATTTCAAAATCATTCATTACTTTGATTAAAGTTATTCTAGAAATGTTCATCTTACTGCCATTACTTTCAACTATACCGTTCTGTTTCCCAAGATTGAAAATTAAATATTTTGCTATTATCGAGTAAGTTTTATAAACATTTTGGTTTATGAATAATAACAGTTACAAATCAAGTGGTTTCTCATTGATTATTAATTAGTGATCATTGTATGTAAAAGGTACAGTGGTCAGTACGATTTTGTAGACGTTTAATAATAATATAATTGAAGTAATTGTTACAGTAAATAAGTATGGTGAAATGTGTCGAAGCAATATATTATGCTTTATTTTTAATGATTATACAAATTTAATAATATTGATTATATGAATACTAATCGTTTCTCTCGATTATTAAAAAGATAAAGAAACGAAAAGCAACTCCATGATGCTATTACTAAACTAATAAAACTAAATGATAAAATATCAATAAAAGAATTAAATCTTAATTTTCAAATTATATAATTATAAATATTTTTGTCAATTTGAAATATATTTCTTAGGTGAAAAGCTACGAGTCGATATGCTCTCAAAACAGTGGAAAATCGATGCAAAGTCCTTCAGAAGCAAACAGCAGGTCGATGGAAAGTGGCAGCGGAACCACGGAACCATATTATGATAGTGTCCCCTTGGATGGCCAAGAAGATGGAGAATATGTTTACATTCAAGCTGGTAAAACGACATCATAATCATTGCAATCATGGAAATTAATTACATAAATAATTATATTATTGTTCTTTTATCAGGAGGATCTGCTTCGTCCAGAGATGACATATCGCCCCAAGCAATCAGTCCCTGCAGCACGTTGCCCTTGTCCGGAAATAGTCACACCAATGTTCTTGTAGAACCTGATAGTCCAGGAAAAAATTCGAATTATGTCAACATTGATTATTTCATACAGTAAGTAATATTAAATATCATTATTAACGCTGATTTATAATATAAATTAACCAATTAATCAATTATCTCAGAAATAGCTCCCGGGAGCGTACAGGAACAATGGAAACAACTACTGGAAGTTCATTGGATAGTGATGGCGAACAAGAAGGAGCTTATGACGGCGTTCCAGGAGGACCAGCAGGAGATGTACCCCCCGCTCTACTCAGGGCGATTTCTGCAGATGTTGAACATACAAGTCCGATTCCAGGAACGCCTGGATCTAATCGGAAGATCGGATCAATGGTGAGACTAGGATCAAAATTTCTAACTGCAAATACCTGATTTTAATTTTTATCAATTATGTATTATTTTAGGATATGAGTAAGCAAGAGGCCGAGCGTGTGTCTATGTATAGATGTATTATAGAAAGTATTATTAAAGGAGAAAAAGTTTATGTTGAGTGGCTCACAGTCATGATGCAAGTATGTATTATCACATTAAATACGCTATATTTCTAAACAATTCGCTAATCAGATCAATTTTCTTTTTTAAAGTATATGAAAGCAATTAAGGCTACATTAAAAACTTCCCAACCTGTGATAACTGAAGATGAGTTTGATACAATATTCTATAAAGTACCAGAACTTCATTCTCTGCATTCAAATTTTTTGGAAGGACTGCAAATGCGAACACAAAACTGGGATGGCAAACTTACAATAGGAGATCATTTCAAAATTATGGTAATATATAATAGCAAATATTTGTATCCAATGTTTATGGTTAGATGTGATTTTTATTCGAACTATTTCTATGTGTAGGCTTCCAATATAAATATATATGGCGCCTTTCTCCATAATTATGGACGTGCCAAAGATACTGTGCGAAAATGTTGCGTAAACAATTCCAATTTTGCACAAGTTACTTCCGAAATTAGATTGCAGTCTCACAGAGAACATAGTCTGAGTTTAGAAGACTTACTGCACAAACCAGTAAACAGGGTACAAATGAATGCACTAGTTTTACATGTAAGTGTTTTTATTATGTCGAACCTATCGAATTAGTATTTTACCTTATAAAACTTTATTTTTAAGGATTTATTAAAATATACACCATCTTCGCATCCCGATCACGCGACTTTAACGGAAGCTCTGAATATGACTCAACATTTTTTGGATGAGTTCAATATGATCCAAACCAAAAATATGTTTCCGGTATGTATCACTTAAGTCACTATATCATTCGTGAATCTTAGATTTAATTTAGTTTTAAAATAAAATATTGTTTTGCAGTCCGCTGATCGAGCCCAACGACGATTGGTGAAAAATTCTTTTATCGTGGAATTAGCAGAAGGTAGCAGGAAATTGAGGCACTTGTTTTTGTTCAACGATGTTATAGCATGCGCCAAGTATAAGGTATAACTTGATAAAAATTAAATGTTGATAGTAAATTATTATTATTTATAACTTTATTTTGTTTTTATACTACTGTATACATATTTTATATATTTATCAAGGCTTCTGGTCGTGAAAAATTCACATTTGAATTGAAATGGTACATACCTTTAAGCGACATTGTGATATTTGAGGAGCCTGCAGTAGATCCTAAAGAAAGTTCACCTGCCAATATAGTTTCTTTGAAATCACAAGCTTGTAATGTCAGGGACCAATTACTACTAGAAGACAAAGATGATAAGGTACGAATTACGTATATCTATATTGTTATTAAAACAGGATTGAATAAAATTGTTTGTGTTTTACTGTAGAAATCAAGACTGAGTAGCAGGTCAGAGAAGCAAAAGAAGAAACTCGCCGATCTGGAAGCTCAATTAGTGTTAGCATCTCCGAACTTAGTTTTTCGTGTCGGAAACAAACAAACTATCAGAACCCAAACATTTTTCTTATCTTCCGATTTTGAAAGGACACAATGGATCGAATCTATTCAACAGTTGCAGGTATATTTTGAATGAAATGCAACACAATCGACAATGTTTCATTACAGTTCAAATGATAATTGTTGCATTGATTTTTTAGCAAAGTTCTCAGCTCCCTGGTTCTGTAGTAGTTCCATCAATGTATGAACTCCAGGCCTGGATTACGGCCTGCAGGACATTTCTCAAGACTAATATGGGATCATACCTCATGCGAACTGGACGAGATGAAAGCTTATTGGTTGGCGATCTACATTTGACAATTAAAGATTTGACTGGTTTGGATTACCCTGCAGGTATAAATAAGATATAATTAGATGTTTATTATTAGTAGAAAAAGTAAACAAAAATATTATTATTGTTTTAGATCTATTTGTTTGTGTAGAAGTAGATTCATATGGTCATTATTTCCGCAAAGCTAAAAGTAAACTAATTTGCCGTTCTAATAATCCTACCTGGAACGAAACATATGTTTTAGAATTGGAAGGATCTCAAAATTTGAGAATTCTTTTATATGAGGAAAATCAGACAAGGCCAATGCTACGTGCTAAACATACACTAAAAGTAAATAAAATATGCATATATTTATGAAATTAATATAATTGATTGGTAATTGTAATTGATTTACATCATTTAGTTGAGTCGTACTTGGTTGCAAGAAAATTGGTTATCGCAAAGTATTGTTTTGAGAAACTGCACTTTGAATGTAATGCTGAAATTTACACCTAGTGAAGTTACTCTAAGACGAGTTCCTACTTCCAAACCCGGTGCTTTGTTTGGGGCTAAGATACTACAAGTTTGCAAGTAAATTGCATTACTTTTATAGTATATAACATTACAAGTCATTTTATTTTTTTTTCTAATTTTTTCTAATTTAATTTAAAATTTACAGGAGAGAAAAACGTGACATACCTTTTATAGTCACATCTAGTGTGAGAGAGGTTGAAAGACGAGGCATGATGGAAGTTGGCATATACAGGGTATCTGGATCTGCAACTGACTTGAATAAACTTAAAAAGAGTTTTGAAAGCAGTAAGTGGAATTTTTTTTATACATATTCATATAAGTTATTAAATTTTACATTTCTTGTTGCAGATCCTTATGAAGCTGAACAACTTTTGAAAGAAGTTGACATACATTCAGTTACTGGAATACTAAAATTATATCTTCGTGAAATGCCAGAAGCATTATTTACTGATGCTCTCTATACTAAGTTTGCAGATGCGTTTAATCTAAGCTCGGCACTCAATACAAATCGAGCAGTGGCTTTGAGCCATTGTTATGAGAGTTTACCAGTACAAAATAAAGAATGCATTGACTATTTACTTAACCATCTGATCAAGTAAGTTTTTTTCATTTCCAGTTTGCTTATGTAAGATATCAGTTAGTATAACAATGCTCTCTCTTTCCAGAGTGAATCAATACGAATCAGAAAACAAAATGTCACTGCACAACTTAGCAACAGTTTTTGGTCCAACTCTTCTTAGACCAGGAGCGAGAGCAGATTCTAAGCAAAAGGATAAATTAGCAGATTGCACAGTTGATGTCATGACGCAGGCAGGAATATTATACTGCTTCTTACAGCAGAAAGCTGAGCAGCTTCGTGAACAAGGAAGTAAATGATGAGGAATGTAAATTCAAAGAGTTTTTGATGATTTTAAATATGCCTTGAAAACAATGTTATTGTATAATCAGGGTTTGAATTTTTTGAATCAATTTATATAAACCTTTTCTTAATCCATTTTTATTTTATATATTTTAAATTGGGCAGATAAATATTCTTTCAACTTTTAATTAAAACTATTTTTGTTTTAATACCATTTGACAAATTATTGAATATTATTATCTATTTGATTTTACTATTAAAGTGTCCAATTAGATGCAGTTTTATTAATGTTTCTAAAAAAACACTCAATTATTCTATTGTGCATTTCTTTTATTCATTTATTGATTCATAAAATTTTACATTGTTTATTATAATGTGTTCTAAACACACTCTGACGAGATAAATGTTTGATTGATTGGTGACTGATTAGATCTATGCATGCGTTTTATTTATATTTATAATTATAAAAATATTATTCTTATTATATGAAGTCATTACTTCTGTATTTCATATATATATATATATATATATATATATATATATATATATATATATACACAGACTGTCCACAAAGTCAATGTCAAGTTGCACCTAAAAGCTCATATTTTCCAAAGAATGTGAGATTTTTTTTAGTATACTATCACCCTATTTCGACTTGACGTTAAGTTTTGGAACACTGTATATAAGTGTACTATCATGATAAATCATATATATATATATATATATATATATATATATGTGTATGAGAAATTCAATATTTTAAACCTAGTCTAACACTTTAATATTGCCAGTAGAAATAAATAATTCAGTCAAAACATCTATGACACTATTTGAATATTATAATGATGCAAAGACTCTGGTTATATTAAAGTGTTTTTGATATAATTTTAGTTTTAAGTTCTTTCCCTGCTCAAACTTATCATATTGTTGTAAAGTTTGAGCAAAAGATCAAACACATCAGAATGTCTATTTGTTAATTAATTCTTTTTGTGAGTATAACCTTATGATAATATATATTTTATTTTTTAAGCATTAAACAAGAAAATGTTCCTTATTACGTTACTATTTGTTAGATTAAATTAAAATAAGAGATCGACGTACAGATCTAAATTATGGAATTTTTAATTTAAGAGCATTATTAAATTTAAATAGTGCCAGATTGATGAAAATATGAATTGCATTACATTAAATATATAATACAAATATTCTATAAGAATCTTAAGCAGCGTTAAGAACTATCACAATAATTTTTATTTTAATAATCTTAATATAAATGTCTTGAAAACATAAATTTATTAAACAGAATGTTAAGAAATATGAATAGATTATACAGTATTGTTAAAATTGGCTTGCAAACTATTGATTTGCTAAACCTTCCAAAGATATCATACGATACCAGTGCATTTAACATAACGTATGTATAAAATTTTTTAAACAAAAAACAAAAAGAAGTGCCATTATCCTTATATCCTATAACAATAACAATAACATTTGCAAATGTGTATTATTTTATAATTATATTTCTAGTGTAATATTTTATTTTGCTTAGCTTATGCGAGGAAAATAGTATATTAATAATACAGTTGCTTTGAATTTACATCTTTATAATGAACATATAATATTGCGTATGCTAATTCTAAATTCATCAACAAAATAACCATTTTATATGAGATATATCAGTTAATAATCAGTATACACCAAATAAATGTGTAGTCGTTAATTATAAAATAGCTGTAATGTTAAATAATCAATATTCTGGCATATAATTGATAGTTGGAAAGCCAGCTAATCGGCAGAGGTTTGAAAATGCATATTTATAAAAAAATTCTATGATTGGGAGATTATTTTCCAAGAGTACTGAAACTCATGTGCAATACATTGAGTGTATTATAATGCATTTTTCTTATTATTCTGCTGATTTCTTCCTCAAAAATCATATCAATCTGAAGTGATTGGATGTGGCACGTTGTTCCCGAAAATTTTTTACCCGTTTTTTCGATAAATCGAGAGTATTTTTCCAAATTTATACGTTTTTCTACTGTAAATAAGGTGTATTAAGTATTTGTGTAGTATTATGGTATTTCAAAGCCAGTCGTAATTTTAGATTTATCATGTAGTTTTCTATAAGAATGAAATTGATTTGACATGATCAAGTATTATTTTAAATTGTGGATGTATTATTTGATTTATAATATTCTTAGGACATTATGTACACTTAATATTACAAAGTACATTTTACCGTTTATTTTATGAATAGCGATTAAAAAGATCATGAGTCATAAATTCTGTGCACAAATTTAAAATCTAATCTACTCATATGACTTTCTTAAATGAAACGTTTTTTTTGGACATCTATTTACCCTTATATCATGGCTATTCATATTTTTTCAATTTAATATTTAGAAAGGTTTTATATCTTTGATGTTCTAAGATACATTATAAACATAATAATGCAATTTAGATTTATTTTTGTCTGTTCCGCGTTTTTGTATTCATTATAAAACACGCTGGTGTTCTGTAGACATTCCAATTGATGAAAAAAGTTTAATAAGTGACGTTAATAAGTTGAATGTTATTATATTGAGAAATTTCGTATAAACATATTAGTGTTAAGATTAGTGGTACATGAAATTTATTTATAATAGAGGAACCACAATAAATATTCTGAAACATTGATTCATTATATTATCATTCATTCACGCTGCTAATGTAATTTATTTAAACTTAATTTTTATGTAGATATATTTTTAACATCAATCAGAACTTAATGAGTTCTATAAGATTTTATGCTGACTTCTTAAACGTTGTAGCTTTCTATGGATGGAAACCCAAACGTCGCCCTATCTCTATGTAATTAATTTATTATTATTATTACTAAACCTGCAATACTGATGAATTTTTTACTGATGTAGCAACTTGTTCACAAGAGATCTGATGAGAAAGGCATTCTTTTTATTGAATATTTTACATCATTGAAAGTATGATACATTTTACACAAGTAGGTTTTGAAATATCTGCACTAAGATTTTTACCTAATTAAGTTTTTTATTAAATAAATAATATTTTGCAGTTATATAAAAAAATATATAAATAATTTAATTTAATATTTTATTAAAACATGAATGTGCAATTAATTATAATTAATTTTAAATCAATTATTACCTTTTACTTAATTACTTATCATGCGTAAATCCAAAAAAATAAACGTATACATACATTCAAAATATTCATAGTATATATTATATCCTTATGTATTATATCACATATAAAGCATTCATATCTGAATGCTTTTCAAAGGTTGAAAGCGCATTCAAATATCCCGCCATATTTGCAAGTCTGGCACATGCAGCGCCTCTATGCAAAATTGTTCCCAGTTCGTGAGGAACTAACATCAAGTTGAATTCATATAAAAGCGTAAAAAGGAATCCAATAAGATTCCTGAGCTCCTGCGGTGATTGCTTGCAGCGCCTCTATGCCAAATCGTTCCCAAGTCGTGAAGAACTAACGTAAAACTTTTGACAGTTCATATCCAGTTGGAATCCATGGACTACTAACCACGGATTTATATACTGTTTTTTCCATCATTATATATGGGCCAGCTGACTTAGTTTGTATGAGAATTGGATATATAAATTTATATATCGATTTTTCCATCATTACATATGATATATACGCCTTAGTTTGTATGGGAAATGGATATAGAAACGTATATATTGATTTTTTCATCATTATATATGAATAAGCTGACTTAGTTTGTATGGAAATTGAATATATAAATGTATATATTGATTTATACATGACTATATATGGCCTAGCTGCCTTAGTTTATATGGGAAATGGATATATAAATGTATATATTGAATTGTACATTATTAGACTTAAAAACTCCTTGCAGTAATAATGGAATTCGATATATAAATGTATATAATTATTATGTATCATATAATGAATTATTATATTCATTAAATAATATATATTTAAAACATTGTGATTTTGCTAATTACATATGAGTATTTGTAATATTTTGTAATTATATAAATAAATATTTAAGTAATTTAATTTGTTTTTTTTTGTAAACATATAATGTGTATTTTAAAGAATTTTTCAGGTTGCATAAATAATTTGACAAACAATAATTAATAGCTCTATAATTAATTTTATTTACTTAATTACAAACCTACATAAAGATCCATCCATTTTATTTTATATAATACTCTTTGATTATTTCTTATCATAGTCTTTAATTTATTCAAAAATCGCGCCGTTCGAAAAGCAATCGAAAATCCTTTCTTTCGCAATGATAGGAAGAGCCGACATCGAAAGATGAGATCTTCATAGTAAACTGGGTCTGTAATCGTTGCGAAGTATCAGGAGAACAGACGCGCTCAGAATATATATATATGATAGTATAGTACTATTCGCCCGTCCTTTAGAACTCGCGTCTCTTCATACATTTCATACATTTTCATACGAATATCTCTGCCGATGTAATAGGGTAGCAGACACATTTTTCAATCAAATTTCGCTCGTATTTCACAGGGCCGTCTGCTGAAATGTTAGGGGTAATTATTTTTAAAATTAAAAATGCAATTTATTGTTTTGGGATATTTTGATAGGTTTTGGTGTTGGAAATGTTTTTTTAACATTAATATTATTGTATAAACATTGAAAAAAGTGGTAAATGTGCATAATGTAGCAGATAATTAAAAAATTTAGTTATTTGTGTGTACATACTACAATTTTCGACTTTTCATCAACGTTTTCAGAAGAACGGCTGTACCGATTTTGAAAATTTAAAAAGCATCGGATGTGGCTTTATGAGCACTCTACCCGATTAGTTTTTTGCGATGATCGGTCAAGCCGTTTCTTTAAAATTAGTGTGAATGTGCAAAAACTTTTGCCCACGTTTTTTATAAAATCCTTAAATCGAATTTAAAAATTAATAAACTAGTCGAAAGATATTTTTGGGGAATCATAGTTCTCAGTTTTTGGTGAAGATCGGCCGAGCCGTTTCTTTGTAATTAGTTAAATAATATGAAACAAAATTTATTTGGTTACTAACTTTTATAAATTAGACACTTAGTATATTTTTAAAGTAAAATTACATATATTAGTAATATTATAATTAGTGCAATTTTTATAATAATGTTTTTCCAACTATTCAAAAAAATTTACATATTTGTTTTATTCAACATATAAAGATGTTCAAAATGCGGTCCTGGTTTCTTGTTAAATGTATTTCTGCTTTCTGATTGGTTGCCTCGTTTTGACAGCTCCAAATATATAAATGGCGGACAATTCTCGTTACTTACGAAATCGCTTCGAAGTATTAGGAGAGCAGAAACGTCAGAATATATATATGAAAGTAGAATATATTCGTGCTCAATGTATGGTGTGGCTATAACGAATTCATATAACCTCAATGTAAGTACAAATTGATTATCATTATAATCATTATATTTCAAATAGAATGTCATGTGGCTATTATATATTATATTTTTTATATCAATTCCTATTTTTATGATTATTATTAAAACTTATTTCTATGTTAATTATTAAAATTAAACTTTTAATTATATTGTTACATCGATGTAGTTATCTAGTAAAAATGATCACTATGCAGTGTTTTTTGTAATAAATCTATATTCTTTCCACAAGCGCTTATAACTTATAAGGAAACAAGAAAGAAAAAATTAAATGGAATATATTATTGATGAATTATGTAGAGGCATACCACTTTGTTGTATTTAACTGTCTTCTCAGAAATATACATTAAACAGAAAAACAGAGATGATGAATAGAATATCGAGTAAGTTTTGCAACATTTTATATACTATTATATATAATAGTTTTAGGAGGTTTAATTTTATTCATATGAAAACTTAAATATCGAACTACAATTCCGATGAATTTGTCAATTCATGTGATAATAGATTAGAATAAAATGATAAATCAAAATAGTAATGTCAGTATATTAAACTCCAGTTGTAGTTGCATAAAACATCAATATTTTTTAATGAAATGAGTTAAAAATAATGAGAAATGCATATAGTTTATGTAAGAAACACAATTCTGTACAAAAGTACCTTTTGCTCAATGTAGTTGAATCACATCAAATGAATGAATTCACTATAAGTGATACTGTAGTATTAATTTATACTTACAATTCCTTTTATGTTTGTGTTTCGAATAGTATGCATACAAGTTTCTACTATTACAATACTTTTAGAATGAATTGAGTTTAAAAATAATAAGAACTTTATATAGTGCATATAATATGTATGTTTCACAAACAAGTATTTAATTATTAACAATAATTTCACTGAATTTCTATTTTATAGTGTTGTGGATTCTTTCACTGTTGCAATTGCTTAAGCCTGCTTAAAATTTTGGACTATTCGTTTAGAATACCCAGATTCAGATGCGATAATGCCCAGAGGAAATGGATTTTTAATGACCATTGTGATACTACCAATACTAATAATCGGATTGATACGCCAGACTGACGACTATCTTGAAACAATCTAGTCAAAGACTGTCAAATTTATCTTACTGATTGTGAAAATAGTTTTTGACCAAATAGAAAGACCATGGGCATTAGAGATTATCGATTGTCATATAAGTCCAAATCGATGACAATCACAATCAAAGACAAACGAAGATATTTTAATACTTGCAGAAATAACTCAGTCGTGAATATTGATTTGCTAAGTTATGATGACAAAATCTTGGAACTTATACAACTTGTATACTTAATAACCTGTATACTTAAGTATACATACTTTGGAGCAAAATAATTGTTTGGGATGGTAACAGGATTGTCCCTGTACTTCCGAGATAATAAGACAAGTTCTGATACATATATTAATAGAAGTATGAATTTATGCTGATTTCCAAATGCTGAAATCTTTAAACAATATGAATATAGGTAACTATAATTTTGAGCATGCACTGCAAAATAAGAATGAAGAATTATATTATAAGAGAAGAAAACTTCAAGCTTCTAAATACATTTATACAATCTTGTGGAAATGTGAACATTTTTCATCACATGCAGATGAAAGATCAGATAGTAACCATATATTTATCCTTATGATACCTACAAATTCAATAGATAAATTGCAAAACTAAGAAAGGAAAGTAGATGTAACTTCATAAACAAAAAGCAAATGTAAAATATTTAATATTTTACTCAATTAACATTATAAAAATAAATATATTCTTTAAATATTTACTATTTAAAATAGTATAATTACAAGCATTTAAGTAATTTGATACTGAATGATCTGAATTAATATAATTTTTCATAATAATAAAGTAATTTATAAGAACTTTACCGCCAAGAATAAGAATGGTTTGACTATTACTTTCATATGATGATACTTTTTTAAATTAATTTTGCTTGTAATATAACATATCATTATTCATTATTACAACCTAAATATTTTCATTATAGGAAATTCCAAGAATCCAGAACGATGTGTCTATCCAGATTTTTCATGTCTGCAATGGATTATGCTGTGCATTTTTTGAGCTTAGAACTTACGATGGATCGCCTACAATGCAGACTGTAGGAGTACCTTTAACTGGAACTAACCTACAAAGTACAATTAAGGAAGATGAAATATCTGAGCATGAACATTATAATGAAATAGAATAAGTTTTAAATACATTTTAATTATATTTTGATAAATATACTTTAAGGCAAATTAAAGTTGTCTGTGCCAGCAATAATATTCTTAGTACTAATACAATTTATTATTTTTATCACAAGTCATTTTTTCCATTATAGGAAATTCCAAGTTTTTACCCTGAACATCATGCTTGTTTACCTATTATCCTGAATATCTTTTAAGTTCAATCCTTGCAGTGGACCACTTCCAATGCAGTCTTTAGGAGTACTTTTAACTAGACAATGGGTGCAGTAAATTTACTACAATGGGTGTAGTAAATCTACTATACAATCAGGGTAGTAAAGCTACTACAATGAGATGTAAATCTAGTACAATGAGTGTAATAAATTTACTACAATGAATGTAGTAAATATACTACAATGAGTGTAGTAAATCTTCTGCAATGGGTATAGTAAATCTATTGCAATCAGTTCAGTAATCCACTACAATCAGTGTAGTAAATCTGCTACAATGAATTTAGTAAATTTACTACAATGAGTGTAGTAAATCTACTGCAATCAGTGTAGTAAATCTACTATAATGAGTGTAATAAATCTCCTTCAATTGGTCTAGTAAATCTACTACAATGGATGTAGTAAATCTACTACAATATGTATAGTAAATCTACACAAATAAAATATCCTTAATATTATATTATAATGGCAGTTCGTTTTAACTTTTTTTTGAATCAGTTTTACAGTTTCACAGTTACAGTTTCACACCTATTGATGATATAGATTTGAAACAATCTGTCGACATCTTGAAGTAATAAGGAAGATGAAACATCTGAGAATGAATATTATAATATTATTATCATATGATGTAAAAAGCAAGTTGCTTTTGTATCTTTGAGAAGAAGTGAAACGACAGTGTAAATGTTTAAAGACTAGATTTAGTTACATATGATATTCTTTGTATTGTCTTTTTATCAAATCAAGTATTTCATGTAAATGGTCTTTATAGAATGATGTGCAATGCAATGCAATATATGTCCATTTATTTATTTAGATTTAAAATGTAATTGATAGCAATCAAGTTAATATTTATTAATTTAATTAGTAATAATTATGTTCTGGTAATTAAAATTGTATTTGAGTCTGCGATAACTGCATAAATTATTATTGTATTATAAAAGCTTATGGTACATAATTTATATTTTCAGCTCGTTTTAAGTATGAAATTGAAATCAAATATTTATTAATGAGCTAGAATAATTTCATAAACAATTTTAACTGGAAAAAATTATATTTTCAAGCTAATTTATTCATTCTGAACAATATAACTTTATATAACAATACGTCATAATTTTTGCAGATTAAATTTTCTGTTTGAATTTCGCGCTTTAAATTGTACAAGATTGGGGCAGCGGTCAATTAGCTAACTTCAATTGCTTCAAATGTCAAGAGATTTTTGTGAATGATCTTAATCTCGCGTTAATTAAGAGTATTTAATTAAATCCTTGATTAGTTTTAATTAAATCGTTTAATTAAATCTGTAGATCAATCTGACATAAAAAATATATTGTGCAACATTTGTAAAAAGTTAAAAAAAATGGATATGTGTGGAAATGCATAGGTGTACTTTGAATAGTAATAATTATCTCTTTCAGGACCCCCATTTCGAATCAATATTGTAATTAAACCTTTTACTTTCAGTGCTGATGTATCCTTTATCTATATATATGCAATTAGCAATTGTATAATTTATATATGAATGTGTATACTTTTGTAGGTTATGGTAGCACATTTCCACATATCTATTCATTCAATTTTAAGTTCACAAAAGTCTCTAATGTAAGTCGTGTCTTGCGTGTTTCGTAGAGAATTCGGACAATTGTAAAATGTCAAATAAACTTGTAAAAGACAAAGTTATGTAGTGGTTTTAAAGTAGTGATTTTGTGTATAGTACTTGAGATTTCTGGCAGATGCTCCAGAGGTGATTCATGTATTAGTTTTGTGTTTTGCTAGCTGCTGTAGAGGATTTATAACAATGTAAGTGCAGAGCATGTTTTATACAAAGCGAGGCAAAGAATATATTTCTGATATTATATACAGGCATTTAACATACTATTTATTTAATATTTAGCTTAATTTTGAATTCAAACAAGAATCAAATAATTATGAAAATCTTTGATGTTCGACACAATATTGTTTGTCACCTTCAGTGAAACTATAATTTGAATACTAATAAATAAAAAAATATTACTTATAATTTATTTCCTGAAAAGGGTTTAGTACTACTGACCGATTTTGTATTACATGCTACTTTTATGCTTGTCATAATAATATTTCTCAATAATAATATTTTATGCTAGTTTTTCATATTAAATGAAATTAATTGAAAGGTGCTTTGAGAACTTGTTTCTTTGTTATACGATATCATTTATAAAGCAGCTTGTATATATTTTAGTGGAATATTTTTTGCCTTGTGCATTATTAATATAGTTATATACATATATCTGCTGAAAATATTGTTTATATTATAATATTTGAGTCAATATCATTTTCTTAATAAGGTATACTTTATTAATCTTTAATGCATAAAATACAATTTATCTTTTGTTTATTCAACTACAACTATTTTGCAAATAAAAGATTTTAAATTTATTTGGCAGACATATGTATGAAAAACTAGGTTCTTATTTAATTTGTTATGGGGAAAACATGTTGATTCAGATTTTTTATTTATTTATTCAAGTGCATTTTATACTTGTTTTAAATATATATAAAAGAAAAAAGTTTCTATTTCTCTTATGTATCAAAGACGCTGAAAGTAATTTATATTATTACAATTCCATAATAATATTCCACCAGAGATTCTCGTGCTCTATAAATAACACTATGAATTGATTTTGTATGGAATCCAGAATTTTTATATGTATATTAAATTTTTGTTACCAAATTATTAGTTAATTAATACAGCTTTTTGTAAGCATCGATTACTTATTTGTTGGAGGGGTCCTAGCACCCTTCCTTAGGTAACTCCTAAATTGATGGTATTTTGTTGCTAATTACAAATTTACTTTGTTACAAAAATCTCTTTTTTATCACACAATTTGTTCATTATTACACAGAAAAAATATTTGTATTTGTATTTGACGTTTCCAGTATCAAGAATCATGTGTTTTTCCTGTAGCAACATTGTCTGCATGAACATTCTTATTTATGGATAACACGATTGTTGGTTTTGATCAAATTATTTCAAATACTCAAATACGACTTAACAAATTGTTAATTAAATGCAGCTTTTAAAAGTCTTTTACTGTAGTTTAATTTTAAATTTATTCAATTATATTGCTGCATAGCTAAATGATAGATTTTTATTCTTTTATTGATTAAAACAATTTTGATCAAGACATGCAATCTAAGTTTCAAAGAGTTGACTTGAATGATTAGACAAAACATAATTTTGTTAACAAGTTTATTATTCGATTCAAGTTGTAAAAATTATTTAACTCAATTTCTAAAGGATAATAATCAGATTTAAACAGTCTTGAAGTTTTTAATGTTCATATTTGAATATTTTTTATTATTTCATTTCACATCTTTTATTGAATTTCTTTTATAGCTTTTTCCAATAATTTGTATATTATTCAAGTCAACTACATTTGTTTTTGTCTCGATTAATTGTAAAGGTTTCACATGTTTAATCAAGTCATATAAACAATTTTGATTCGATTAATATCACTTCATTTCATCGATTAATTAAATAATTCTTTCGAATAATTTTTTTTTTAAGTCCTTTCAGAAATTTTTTTTTCTAAATCCAAATTTTCTGATTATAATTCTTTCGAGTAATTTTTTTTTCTAAGTCCTTTCAGATAATTTTTTTTTCTAAGTCCAAATTTTCTGAAACCTTTTCAATTAAGACAGACGAGTTATTTATGCATGCTGTATTATCCCAAAGCCAACATTCGAATGAATGAGGCTCACATTGAATATTTCACAACGAGAAAATTTTATTGGGACAAAGTTGAAAATTTTAACTAAGTCCCAGTAATTTTTTCTCGTTGTGAAAATTTCAACGTTGACCTCATTTCATTCGAGTGTTGGCTTTGGGAATTGGTGTGAGGGAACACTAAAAAACATAAAAAAGTTTCAGCATTGAACAGAAAAGAGAAAAATTCATCTGGGACTTAGGGGGTTTTTTTTAGGTTCCTCCACCTCCCCTTCCCCTCCTCCTTCCCCTTCTTTTCCCATTTTTTCCTTTTTTTTCATTTTTTTTCATTTTTTTTCATTTTTTTTTCATGTTGTGGTTTTTCGGTAGATTTTTGGATCCGGCATGCATCTTCCGCAATGCGTCTCCCTGCGTGTAACCTCTCGCACCATGGACCTCAGGTTGACCATCACTTGGTGTGTTCGTTTCAGGACCCTTTGCGCTCGCCAACAGCCAACCACCAGCACTGTTCCATTTTTTCTGCTTCCGTGTTGGTCGTCGTCGCCTTCAGCTGGATTCGATCAGTCTCACCTTGTGCCTGCCTCCAGAGCGATTTCACCGAGTATGCGGTCTCTTAAACCGCTCGGCTATTTAAGTTATTGATGATAAAAGTAATTTTTATTCCTATATTGTATTAATATTGAATTTTAATAAAGAATATGTATCATACACATCTCTCTTATTCATCATCTGCCTCTACCCCTCTCTTTCCCCAGTTCTTCCTCTACTTTTTTTTTTTTTTTATCTTTATGTATCTCTCTTACAGTCAAGTGCGAAACTTGAGTTTTTCAGAAATTTACTAAGTGTCAAGGTCGAAATGCGACACCTGAATTTAATATTTTGAACTAATATTTGATATTTATGAAAAACTATACATTCGAATTTTCAAGCATCTTGGGGACTTGAACCGAGAAACAATGAGCAACCGTAGTGGCAACTTAACGATCTCGGCCAATTGGTTACAAAGAACCCTCCTCTATTTGCAAAAATATAAAGTCTTATTTTGATAATGAAAGATATAAGCTTCCTAAAAAAGTTGTGTGCCAATTGTGCGAATGGCCGAGGTCGTAAAGATACGGTCGGTTTAGGACAGAATAATAATTCGAGGTTCGCTAG